TTAGAAGTGGACAAGGAGTGAAGGTTTCATTGTATGGTACTAGTTGGATTTTGGCTAAGAATAGAGAATTCTAGAAAGACAAAATTTTTTTATGGTTTAATATCAGGCAGGGTATACAACAGGATTGTATCCTTTCACTATACCTATTCAATCTACTTGTTGAATAAATATCCAAGAAACAGGATTCTTATGAACAACAACATGTGGATGATACAACTTTGCTTGCTAAAAGCAAAGAAGACTTTAAGCTCTTACTGATGAAGATCAGAGAATACTCCCTTCAGTGTGTGGATTACACTTAAGCATAAAATTAAAATCAAAATCCTCACAACTAGACCAGTTAAACCATAATAAATTGAAATAGCATTGATGCTGTCAAGAATTCCATTTTATTTTGATCCACCATCAGCATTTATGTAGAAGCAGCTGTTAAGAAATGACTGAATAACCAGTCAACACCGTAAGGAGAAGCATCATCCAGCTAAACCCAGTCAACAGCTGAGATAAAATAAATAGTGATGACTTAGTGGACACATTGGCAAAAGACCTCTTCAGAGATGACACCTTGAAGGTCTTAAGTGCACCTTATCTGAGTCAGGGTGTTTTAAATCACTTCTTATGCACATGAAGTATGATTAACATATAGAGACAAAAGAAAAAATAATTCCTTTAAATTGTGGTTTGGTGAAGAATATTGACTACACATACCATGTTCTAACAGAAGAACAAGGGAGCTCTGGTGGCCTAGTAGTAAGAATCTGTGCTGCAGTCCCGAAGACATGTGGTTTGAATCCACCAGTTGCTCAGCAGAAGGATAGGACTTCTACTTTCATTCTATTAACTGCCTCTGGGTCAGTGTCAGCTGTAGGTCGGTTCGGACTCAGTGACACACAAAATCAACCACCAGAAAAACGAATAATCTGTCTTGGAAAAAGTACAGCTAAGATACTCCTTGAAGTGAGGCTGTTGAGGCTTTATCTCACATACTTTGGATGTGTTATCGATAGTGACTGAGCCCTGGAAATGTCTGTCATTCTTGGTCAGGTAGATGATCAGTGAATAGAAGACTGTCATTGAAGTGGAGGCATAATTAGGCTGTGTTGTGTTATGCGTATGTTCTAGTTACTGTGAATTGGAACCAACTGAACAGCACCCTACTAACTACAGTTAAATAGTATATTAAACAAGATTAAAAATAGTGTTCCGCTCAACTGGAATGACTTCTTGCTTTTCCCCTTCAGTTTTTTTAAGCTCATCTTGAGTTGTCAATGAATGTAAATTCTTTCTCCTCTCCTTTTCAGTGTTATTCTTTGTGGGTTGTTTTCTTTTTTAAAAAATTTTGCTTTCCTAAATTTATTTTATTAGTATTTATTTTTTTATTATTGAACATTTTCTTCCCCTCCACTTCTCCTCCAACCCACCATCTCTCTCCCCATCCCTCCCATGTCTGTCCTATTTTATAACAGTGGTGTTATGCAGTGTTCATCCTTTTGAGTGAGGTATTTCACGCAGCATAATGTACTCCAGGCTCCTCCTTGTTATGTAAGATTTATGAGTTCATTATTTTTCAGTGTTGCATAATAGTACATTGTGTGAATGTACCCTATGTTTTTTATCCATTCATTCATTTGCTGATGGACACTTAAGTTGCTTCTGTCTCTTTGATGTTGTGAATAACACAATAATAACCATGGGTGTACACCAATATAAATTCTTGTCTCTTAATATCTAGGGATATACTGCTTATTAATATTATATGTTAGCATTTCACTCCTATGGACATTATTTTTATCAGTAGAATAATGTTGTTCCTAGAATTAGGATTTAATCTCTCCTGTGTATTCTTATCTTTAATCTATATATTATTTTGAAATTGATTTAAAATTTTGGGGTTTTTTTCTTCCCTTTTATAAAATTTATTATTAATTTCAATGAAAATTTACAGAGACTTTGGATTTCCATTCATTCATTGTTGTACTTTTCTCCCTTCCCAACCCTCCCCCCTAGTACACTACCCTCTTGGAAAAGTGAAAGAAAAATTCTTTCATTGTGAGAAGAATTGGGACCTCAGAAGGCTTTTAGGACCAAATAATAGGTTCTTGTGTTTAGGAGAAAATGAATATACTTACCAATAATGTTAATGCTCACCCACAGCTCTTCTGGGAGGATCTAAATTGTTGATGCATCCTCCTTTGTTTTCACCTGGGAGCTGGGGCCTGCCAGTCCTGTCAGCCACGAGGACTTGTAGGCCGCCTTTGGCCATGTGTCCTTCAAATTCACACTTAAAGCATGTGAGTGGGAGTTTGCTCTCTACTCTCTTGCCTTTCTGTGGCTCTCGTCTGTGACACTGTCTATTGAAGTGGCCCAGCTTTCCACAGTGGAAGCAATTCTGACCTCCTTTATTACCTTTGGGTGGCATTGTTTATGAGTAAGACTTCATTTTCCTGACACAGGCCCTAAACTGGCAGCAATAGTTGCCTCAATAATTTTGGCCATTCTCTGGTCTTTTCTCTTCCTTCTAGATCCCAGTTGTTAAAAGAGGAAAATATTTAAACAAATATATAACAAATAATTTTGAACAATATAATCTTTTAAGTTTAAGGCTGGAAATATTAACAATATGATCATTTCCAATCAAGAGATACATGTTCCAATGCTGTTCCTATTTTCCATAAATGGTTTTGGTAAGAAGAAGATTGTAAATGTGGATACAGTTCCACTATTCTTCCTCCATGCCATGATATAGTGTTATTAGCATGAGCAGTTATAAATCCATTGCCTTACTCTAACTTAAATTTTTTTTAATTTAAATTTATTATTAATTTCAGTAAAAATTTACAGAGGCTTTCATTCATTGTTGCACATTTATCCCCTCCCAACCCTCCCGCCTAGTACACTACCCTCTTGGAAAAGAAAAAGACAAATTCTTTCATTGTTTACAAACCCTCCCCCAGGTCTACTCCACCATGTAGCTGTCGCTCTAGACTCCTGTCATGATAAAAATACCTAATCCCATATCCCTTTTAAACAGTTTTCTCCCTCATCTCTTTCAGTGCAGCATACATTATTGAACCCATCTTTCTCAGTCTCTCCCCAACCCCGATGTCAGTCCTGTTTTACAACAGTGGCACCATGCAATATTTGTCCTTTTGTGACTGGGATA